CAAGTGCTACTCAACTGGCTTTAGGTAATCCAGTCCTTTATTGGTATAAAAGTGCTTCGTTATTTATAGCAATGATGGTAGATAAAATACAAAACACATTGGAATAACGCAACACAATGACGCTATTATGTTTCAAATCTCAGGCTGTTGTATAAAGCAGCACCAGTTCTAGCTTTGTACACCTAATGAAAGGGCATATTTCCAACGTGTCTCGGAAACACATGAACTCAAACGCACCTTGTTGTGGGCATCTGTGTGGCGGATTACATTTCTCAACAGTGTCTTCCCCAGCGGCTGCCTTGACATGATCACACCTGAAGTGAGACAAATGTAAATTATCATCAGGTTAAACTGATCTTTTGTTAATTCAATATAAGAGTCATTTATATTATGTATACATAGCCGCAACAAGAATAACTCTGTTACATGAACATCACATGTTAGCCTAGCTCGCTAGCTAATACTGTTAGATATTCGGATTCAAGAGTATATTTCAATAAACAAAATGTAACTTGTTAACAGTCGGCCTTAATTACTGCTTACTATTTCAACACGTTCAACTTCATTTTGTAGATTTGTACAAACTGTACCTTTTCCAAAACGAGTAGCATTCAAGAAGAAGAAAACACGGCTTACAGCATCTACCGGTACTTCCGCTTTGCACGTGATACGTCACCAAACGTTGGCAAAACTGAACTCTGATTGGTCCAATGGTCCGTCCATCAATAACGTAGAAGCTTTACATCAAGTGCCTTGTGGTACAAAGCAGTTTGTTTTCGTGTGTTTTAATCAGAAAATGGCCATATCTCTCACAATTGCAAATCAAACCTACTCCGTGAGGACTACATGTCTATTTTCCCTCTTGAATTCGTATCACAGGGAAACAACTAGTAGCCATAAAAAGGTGAAAACCATGGACACATCACATAATCACTCAAGTTGTGCTCAGAGTTATGAGAATGTGCCGCTGACGACTACACCTTTAGGAGGACAGGTATGAGAATCCATCTGTGATGAAATAACTCAGATCTTCGTACACAAGTTTTAGCTTCAAAATATATTTACAGTACCACAATAAAAAATGTATTTGTTATTTGTTTTAATCTGTTCGAAATGAAGATTGAAATGAAAATGAAATTCCGCAGAATAGTTCGATTCAGAAACATTTATAGGATATTATTCGTTCATAAGCATTGATGCATTCATTCGTAGCCTATAAAGATTTGACATCATAATATCTGAACCTATTTGTTGATGATATTTTGAGTACTTTATGTAAACTGAACTATTAACTAAAGTTACTAAACAAATCCAGTGAAATTACAAAGTATAATATGTAGCCTACTTCTAAATTGTAGTGGAGTAAGAATAAGTAGTAGCATAGTATAGTATAAGTAAATACTTAATATAAAGTAACGTTTGTATTTTTTTTATTTCTTTATTAAGGAGTGCAGATTTAACAGACAATACAACCATTTTTCACATTTCCTGGTTTTGGTTTTCTTATTACAGGAAATTGCACTACCTCTCTTTATATGAGAAAACAAACAGAATCCCCCCACCCTCACAAGAACTGGAAAATTGGTCACAGCATTGTATCGCTTACACATCCTGATACATTTCACATGATAAAGAGTAAAAAACACCAAAAATTAAAAATATATAATAACGACTATAGAAACGCTAATAATAAAGACAAAATATATTTAAAAAATAAAGAATTACTAGAGGGGGGACATATAGACTTAGTCAGGGGGTAGGACTTTCAATGAATTACGTTTGTATTTTATATAAAGTAAATAAAAAGAATAAGCAGCCTGAAATCTTTACTGTAGTTGGCTACAGTATTTGAGTAAATGTACTTACCCAAATATAAACAAGGTTAAATATAAAGGATGCCACACCCTGCACAACTGATCTAAAGTCCTCAGGGGGCCACACAGTATGCTACATAAAATGCTACAAACAGGAGCTGTACCATCAGCCAGTTCTGGTAATGTATGCCATACATATACAGAGGAAGATCTCTTTGTAACAACTAATTCATTTCAGACTAGTTCCAATACCCTGGCAGTAATGCAAGCACAGCGTGATGAAGAGTAAGTGGTGCTCAATTAAATGGTAGCCTAGTTACAGCCAATAAGTGGACTACTTGGTTACATGTATAACACTGTGATCTATATTACCACCAACCATGAAGATAATGGTGTGCTTTCAATATAACCCAGTGGGAATCTAAGTTTCATTTTATTTTATGTATGCCTACTTGCCTATTCAACCTAATTTTAGATGAATACCTGTCAGCTATATGCTACAGTCTCGCTGGATATAAAGTGTTTATAGCTGCTGCTCACGCTTCAAGATGTGTGATGCTTACTGTAGCTCCTTCAAGTTCTGACACCAGTCACTGTGGAGAATTTCTGACACAAATCATGGACGACTGATAATCTAGGAAACAAATGTCTCTTTATTTAGCTTTTTTGTTATTTCCTCTCAAAATAGATCATTGGTTTAAACTTCACTGAAGAAGGTATTTTAGTCTTTGTTGAGTCACACAGATCAAACCAGATGTGAAGCAGTCAAAGTAGTTTAGTGTACTGTTTTATTGCAGTTATTGTACATTAATGTATCTGAATTTACTTGAATGAAAAGTGAATTGACACACTTTAATGACATTTAGTGGAGCATTTTGTATTTGTAGCTCAATTCTGATCGAACCAGGATTTCAAATAAAGCATTCCATTTTTTAGAATGTTCTCATTATTATTACACCTAAATAAATTAACCAAAAAGTTGTATTTGTATTAAGTTTCAACTTTACCAAACAGTTTCTGTTATTAGGACAACACATGTAGGAGGTGGTGCATCATTGGCAGAGGTATGAATGCTTAATCATTTTCAGATCATTTCAGAGCAAATTATAGTTTGTTTCCCTATGGCAGCTATTTAATGCACAAATATGCAAAATAGCGGGTTTATAATAGCAAAAACAAACTTTCATCCGTCTTTCACCTATACAGTGTTATCTCCCCAACAATAACCCTCATGGGCTTCTTTCCTAAATGATATTTGACAAAACAAAAAATATGAGATTCTTGGGGAAAACATCTTATCAGTCTGTGGGGCTTCATGCATATCTGAAGGTCACTGAAATAAAAAAGATGGGTGAATCTTGTCTCGTGGCGGGCACAATAATGATTTACAATCAGAACAAACTATCTGCTTTATTTTACCAACTCATTTGAATTTGAAATTGGCCGACTGCATGCTGTCCCTGTGGCAAACACACTTTCTTCTCCTTCCTTCCCTCCCAGTGGTGGAATGACTTTCCAGCCACGCTTTGAACAGCAAAGTCACTCCTCATAGATCATCCGTGCAAGCAGAATATTGTTTCATGATACACTTTGTTTCCCCCTACTTCCTCAGTCACATCTTGGTCTCCAAAGTCTTCATCATCTGCCTTCCCTGTACCCGAGTTTGTCCTTGTCTTTTTTTGATATTGAAGGAAAAACATTCAAAGAACTGAGCGCACAAAAAAACAATGGCAACTATATAAAGGATTTTCCTGGAAAGGCTTTTTGAAAAGCTTCTGAATTTGCCAAACTGATATCAGCACTCTGTCATCATCTCCTTCTGCCAAATATTCATGTCACTTTTTCTTTGGAAACAATACTTACACCAAGTCTCTTTTCTCTAGTTTTGGATAGAGCCCCTAAGCTATTTAATCCCCATATCAAATACTTGGATATGCATATACCTTTGATTTACTTGCCAGGTGGGACATATTAGTTTGTCAGCAGAGCAAAAAAGCATAGCATAAACATCTGAGGATGATAAGAGGCAGAACAACTAGTGATTCCAATAATCCTGAAAGGAAGATTCATTGTTAATTTAGGCAACAATAAGCCAATAAGTTCTCATTGATACAGATGTTAACATAACACTTTCTCTATCCTCTAAAAGTGAGTGTAGGGCAGGCCCATAACTGTTTTTGAATTGTTTTCCAAATAATGAATGCATCATGTTGAGCTATAAGCACCAATAAATAACATTGTGTTTAATTTTACAGTAAGTAATGTCATTAATTTGTTAATTAATTTGTAGTGTAAGTTTATAGCAAAATGTGTCTTAAAGGCTGCATGATGTGGTTTGAACTTATGTGTGTCCTTTCATCTATTGAATAAAACAAGTGACCCTACTGTATCTAAACACTCCTGCTTCTGCTGTTGGATGCAGTGTAAATCTAATGCTGCATTACTCTGGTGGTCTACTACACACATTTCCATGTCTCTGTCATATTGCTCTTTAGCTCATTAAATCATGTGTTGATGGTGCTCTTACAGAATTTAAAGCACTGTCATTTTGTTCTGGGCTCATATGCAAACTGCCACTTACAAACCTATTTAACATTCTTGCTGGTGACGCCAAAACATTTCTAACAGCTTAATGACAGAGTGCTTTACAGCAAGTATTTAACACTATCAGCAAATGTTGTAGAACATATTTTGTTTCTGTTGTCTGCTGCCCAAGTTGCTAACATAACACTTTAATGTTAAATGCCTTCAATGTTTCAGCACATTTTATTTAAAAAAAGTGTTTTTTGGTCTTCCCTTCACCATTGTTAAACTTCTGGTCACTGCATGCAGTACATATTCATGAATAATCTGAAATGAGCTGTAATTGTAGGTTGATGTTTTCATTTTATAAACACCATTTTCTGTTTGTGTTTTCCCCCATACTTCCTCTGACTGTGTAATTATCATTAACCTCTGACATGTTTCGGCATGTGTGGTATGTTGTTGTTGTTGTTGTTATGCAAGCTTGTGATTTGGTTGAATCAAACAAAAACACATAATATAATTTATCTTTGTCGATTTCACACAGGGAAATACAGTAAACACAAAAAGAGAAAGGAGTGAGAAGCAGAACAAATATCTCTCCTCCTTGTGAAAGGAGAGAGCAGTGAGGAAAGAAGGGAGGAGGGGGAGGGTAAACACACCCAGACAGAGCCATGTCTGACATCCACGCTGACTGAAAGAAGGAAGGACTGATACAAAGCCAGTGCGTCCGAGCAGAAGAGAAAAAGGGGAAGGAGGGAGGGAGGAGAATGCAAAAAAGGCCGGCAGAGAAAAAAGGCTAAAAAGATGCACAAGAGCTGCATCAGTTCTCGTCTGCAAGGAACAAAAAACATTGTGTTCGTGAATGGGAGCTGGTGAGCTCAGGCACAGGGCGAGTGCAATGAGAAACCAGGCAGACTTCAGTCTCTGCTGTTGCTGAGCACCCTCTCTCCCTCTGTCTCTCTACTGCCAGCTAGGACTGAGCCTAGGTATGATAGACAGGCTTCTGGGTATGATTTGGAGCTTTGTTTTTTAGGGGTATGCTGATGGCTGGCTTTAAACGTGCTGTTATTTCTGATTGAACACAGTGTGCGACGTGGAGACGACTCTGGTCGCCTGCTTACAGGGCTGCTCCCCTCCCTGCTGTCTGAGCCTGTTTGGGCTATGGTCCTGACTGAGAAGCAGAGCATCACCCAGATGCGGGGCTGCAACTGTATGGGAGGTTAAGCCAGTAAACACCAGCATGGGAGGCAAACAGATGAAATGGTAAGAGCAGTTTTTTATTATAGCATTATGTCAACCCAGGGTGCTGTTTTTGTCTACCGAGTGCATCCGTAGCAGAGATATAAATACAGCAGGACAGGCCTATATTCAAGAGGATATACATCATGGCAATACTCTTATCAGCATGCTGGATCAGGCTTAATGCTAGTAATGCATTTCACCATTGCATTATGACTTTGCTAGCTTAACTGTGCAGGTTATTGTTCACTGTGTTTACGGTGCAGTAGGTGTGCCCCTGTCTCTCAGAGCTGGGCTGCTATTGCCTAGCAACCACTATGTGACTACCATTACCGGCTCTTCCATCTCATGATCAGGATGGAGGTCATACATTTTAAATTGTATTAAAATAACAATTACAATACAGTCTCACTTATGAAGATATGTTTTAAAGCCAGCATCCTTGCCTAGATTTGGTACAATTACAAGACGAGATGCAGTTCAGTATTTAACTCTAGCCTGGACATTCCAATAGCCTATAGGGATCTGGCCTCTGTAAACAGTTCACAAGACAAAATTGACAAGACGTGAGAGGATCATTTAGGAAATAAACAAATATTTAATCATTTCAATGTAAACAAAAACGGTATGTTTTTCCAGTTACAGTACAATGTGGGAAGAGTGAACATTTAAAGTCTAAGACAATTTTAACATATGTTGGGATTCAAAATATATACAATGCCAAAATCAGGTTTACAGTTTAGATAATTAAAATCAGTCTAGGGGGGTTCCATTCAGATAACAGTATTAGATCTAAAGTGAAGTAGTGTAACAGACAGTACATGGTTAAAACAGATGTTCATGATTATGCTCTTGATATTCTACTTAATGTCCCATTATGTCCCCTGAGTCAGTTGTAATGATAATACAAATTAGTAGTCGACTAGACGTTAATCCAGAGAGAAAAGGAGAGAGGGGGATAATACCTGAAATATACCTTTTGGATACTCTAAAAGTTATTGAAAATGAACCACTCTAAATGTTTGGAAGGTGAGTCTCTCTTTGATGAAACTGATAATGATTAATAGCATCTAGAATATAACCAGAGGCCCGAAGAGAAAATGTATTTGGATATATGGAGGAAATATAGTTGGAAGATAAATATAGGGGAGTTACAAGTAACATACAAACCTCTGAAATGGTATGAACTGAAGCATATGTAATAAGTCAAATAAAGTACTGCAAACGTGCACTTCAATACAGTGGTGTAGTAAATGTACTTAGTAACTTTCCACCACTGCTGATCAGATCATCTGTTGCACTGCAGCTCATCTCCTGCAAATCCCAGTGCGTAATCCTTGGTTTGCCCGTACAGTATGTTCCAAATCTGTATTTGTGTTTTATCTCGGTGTAGCAGACAACAGCGAGCGACTAAAGGACACTTTTTAGTTTATTGAACTGCTGCCTGCTGAGACAATGATAGAGGGTATCTTGATAATGGCATCATCTGCAATGACAAAATTAGTTGAAGGCAACTGCATTGATCCCCTTTCCAGAAACACTTAGGGATAATCACAGCAGCATCTGATAAGAAGCTCAGTTCATTTCTTTTTTATGTGACTGGATGCAATTACTCTTTCTGAAGAGTGGAAGGACTGGACAATCAGAGGTTTCTCAGTGTGGTGACATTGTGGTCTACAATCCATTTAGTTCAAGACTGAAATGTCTCATCAACTTTTGGATGAACCTCCATCACATGTAAGAAAGATATCCAGAGAGACAGATATGTGAGACGAAGAATCATAATAACTTTTGTCAGCCATTGACTTTCCCTCCAGTGCCACCATGAGGTTGACATTTCTTATCCACTGCTGGTTTGGCGTGTCAATTAAATGATTCTAACGCCATAATCAGGTCTTTTTATTTATTGGTCTAATACTATTGATTTTTGACCAAATACCTTCAAACAATTCCAACAGCTCTACTTTGTGTTATGTGCTAATAAGCACATGTTGGCATGCTAACAGTCCAAACTTGCATTGTCATTTTAAGCATTTAGTGTGCTGAGATTAGCTCACAGTACAGCCAAAGCCGCTTAATCTTGTTCTGAGTTTGTTTGGTGGCTCAGAGGCAGAACTTAGGTGCACAATAATAAACATTCACAGCAACGTGTGCACAATTATTCTATGAAGAGGCAGCGTGAATGCTAAGGTGACAGATAATACACGTGTTACGGGTTTACTGTCTGTTGTGGTATTAGCTTGTGCTGAGTAATACTATTGGATAAGCAGAAAATCTCATCAGCTACAATCTAAATCTCTACATATGTATAATGGGAAGAACATGTTCTTCCTAACTGAGCAAATGCAATCCCTCAGGACATTCTTTGGTGTTTAAACACAGTTTTATCCCACAGTTAAGTCCACAGTTATTTTTTCTCTCTCAGATTTTCTTGGCCTCAGGGACAGGGTGATGAATTGTGATGGTTCTTTATGCCTTCTCTCAAGCATAGAGTTAAGATCTATTTCTGCAGACGCAGGCTTGTTTCCCCATGAAGAGTGGAAAACGAAAGGAATCCCATGTTAAAGGAGCATGCATAATGCCATAGGTCACAGGTCACAGTAGCTGTATCCTATTTCTGAAAACACAGCGCATTGAAGATGACAGCCTGCCTGTACCTCAGGCTGCTGAAGATGCTCTCAGAAAACACAAATGCATAAAAGCTGCAAGAAAACCAGCTGCTCAGAGACCATACAGAATATGGTTTTGAAAAGATGGCCAAAGGGTTCGCAAACTATGTAAAGAATTTCCTGTGGGAAACATTATAGAGTTGAACCACTCTGTCCCCGCTGGGTATTTTTTCTGAACAGGATTCCATCCTGTTCTGTCATTATGTGCACATATTCTGTGATACACTGCATTCTTATGGGCATTGCACGTTTAAAATGTGATTAACTTACATTTGTATGCTCTTTGGGGAGTTATTAAAGGGTATATCTCCATTTTATGTTTCTGGGTTTATTTATTGCCATTCATTTGGCAGAGATGCAAACACACACACACACACACACACACACACACACACACACACACACACACACACACACACACACACACACACACACACACACACACTCATTCCTTCCCGTGCCCACCATCTGTTTCAGCCTGAGCTCAGCCAGCCCTGCTCACTCCCCCAAAGAGGAGTATGTTATCACCCAGTGCGCTGACACCCCTAAAGAAGAAGCACTCCATGATCAGTCTGAGGACCAAGGCGAACCTTGGGATGACAAATCTGAGCTGACAGAGAAGAAATATGTCACAGGTCGGTTGGCTGCACATCAACTCTTTCAGAGCAAGAAGCGTTGCAATGAATCCCAACAAAGAAAAAAGAATAGCTCCATAGCCTCATCTCCCCTCTAACTCTCTTCCCTTCCAGAGGATGTGTCGCTGTGCGGACTGTGTCCCTCCCTCGGGCACAATGTGCAGGAGGAAGAGAAATCCTGGGAGGAGCAGCTGGACGCCCACCAGGAGCAGCTGGAGAAGGAGATGCAGGAGGCCAGGAGGATGGTGTTCCGCCTACAGGTAAGTCCCGGTGATGACACACTTAAAAAGCAAACCACTGCTTCTTTGATATGAACACATTGACAGAAGGCACACAGACTACAGATGCACCATAAGAAGGTAACAGCTCAAATATAGCACACAGAGATTCTAGCCACGTACAGACTTCTGATCCTCTGCCCACATGTTAAAAATAGATCAAATACATTTGAGAAAAACGGATACAATAATAAAAATACTTTCAAATAAGGAAGAAAGAAACACCTGATTTGCCCTCCGCTCTATTGAAACGTATGAGATAGGACTCGTAACATCTGTGTTAAAGTTTCTACTTGGGGTTCATGAAGACATTCGTTGATCACAAGATTGACCCTTCAGACCTCTATTTGTCCATTTTTATTGACACTATTTATAATCTCTCAACTGCTGGTCAGGCTGACAATATATAATCTCTATTCTTCCACTGTAAAATCAATACAAAGCTGGTCCAGTATTAGCACATGCGTGAAAAGTAATCTCTGTGATAGTGATGATTGATCCAGTGGCTACATGCCTCTAATGCAGTGAAAACAATACATGGGAATCTCCAGGGATGGCACAAATTGGATTTACAGTAGCTAATTAATAATATTGGATAACATGCTTTTATTTTGAAAGTACTTCATATTACTTGCATTTTACAGGTTAAAATATGGTCATTTAATCTAATTTATTTATTTATTTCACAGGGACAGTGCACAGCATTTAGCAAAAAAAATTCTGTGCAACAATTTGAACATTATATTAAATTATATGGTGTTTTTATTATTTCTTTATTAATAGATAATAATTTTTCTCAACATATAGTATATATTTGAACTAGGGCCGGGACTCGATTAAAAAAATTAATCTAATTAATTAGAGGCTTTGTAATTAATTAATCGAAATTAATCGCATTTTTAATCACATAAATATTTGACCTAAGAACAGTGAGAAGCAATTTTTTTTCACATGGATTTTAGTATACCATTAGGCGCATTCACACCGCAGTACTTTTCCCAAAAGGTTCATGAGAACTCTTTGAACCTGGGGGAGGATTAGGCAAATGAAGCCGCTGACGTCACTTCTTCTTCTTCTGCTTTGGGTTTACTGGCAGGCCGCAAACCACTTCACGGCGTATACTGCCGCCCAAAGTCCCCGGCCGGAAGTCCCCGGAGTTGGGGACTGGCTTCAGTAGAAGCTGCTGGGACTCCCAGCAGCTTCTACTGAAGCCTTCCGAGTAAATCGCCAGAACGCCGACACCTCCTCATCTCCACCGCTCCCATGTTTTATTTTGTGTTGCCATAAGTTAGTCTCTCTGCGTTTCTGCGCTGGGCTAATGCTAATGCTAATAATGCTAATGCGAGGATAATAAAATGGCGGCTTCACAAAACTTTTTGGGAGTTTTACGGGGCGTGGTTTGCAATCCGCCCAGCCAATCAGAAATATAGCTCTTTTCTCACAAGAGAGGCGCACGAAAGTCCCTGCTCTCTAGCAGCTCTCTGCTCTCTAGCAGGGACTTTCGTGGGGGTAAAAAGGTTCTCATTAACTAATTTTAGTACCGGCTCTTTTTGGTGTGAACGCGATAAAAGAGGCTAACGTCCACGCTAGCTTCCACGCTAGCTGCTATATGTTTTGCATTGAGGTGATACTTGAGGCTTGATGTGCTGCGGTGATATGCGAATTCCTTTTTGCATAATTTGCACACAACCGTGCTCTTATCGACGCTTCCATCCGTCCGTTTTTTAAAACAACATTTCCCACTGTTGTTCACTGTGGTTTGTTGTTGTCTGAAGTCATGAACGTTAGTTGGTGCTCCAGTATAATCGGTACGCCTGAAACTCATCCAGTGAGAAACGTTCCGCGGTGCAAAAATAAGTGCGATTAAAATGCGTTAATTTTTTTAACGCGTTAATTTTTGTGTAATTAATTAATCTTAATTAACGCGTTAAAGTCCCGGCCCTAATTTGAACATTAAATAATAGGTGGTATGCACTGATTATATTTTTATAAAACTGTGCAGCTCTCATAGACAAATAGACTTCATAAAGAAAACCGAACCAGTCAAATAAAAAAAACCTATATTGATGGACAATACATTTCCATTACAAGTCTTTCTTTTCTTACTGGGATCCACATTTGAAAAAGTAGAACACATATTTTACATTCTAAACCCTTTTTAACTAGACCTCTAAATCAACTAAGAATGTCCAAGTATTTCAAATGAATGAAGTGAAACACACATTGTAGCTCTTAGAAATAGACACTCAGGCATCCTGGATACACCACATTATACTTTGATTATGTTTGTGTCTGCACCTGTGTACTTTATACTGTACAGTATATGTGGGTTAGTTGCAGTGTGTGTTTACCCTTTCAGGCTTTTCATTATCCTTTAAATTTGATACGGTTTAGTCCAGTTTAATTCTCCGGCTTTATTAGTGGGAATAGTAAACTTGTTGTGCAGCCAAGTATTAAAAGTCTAAACTGCTGTAAATACAAATACAGAAATAAATGATGCTCCCCTGCCATGTTTAGTTACATTATACTTGATATTGTCTGTTTTGCCCTCAGTCGTTGCTGCTCCATGGCTCCCTCCCAGAAGAGGACCAGGATGGATCTGTGAGCATGGGAGACAGCCGGGCTAGTGCTGAACAGCAGCTGGTACAGTGCCCTCTCTCTGCTAACTCGAGAAACCAACACTTGCTCGCCTCTCTCTCTGTGTGAAGTGTCAGTGTCAGCCCTTCTGTTGTGATGATGTTTGCAACCATCACTCCTCTCCAGAGTGGAGACTGTAGAGCACAATTGAATCTCTCTGATCTGCTAGCCCTCTGTCTTGCAGGCCCACTGCCTCCTCATAGGTTTTGACATTTTTCCTTTCTCTAATTACGCTCTCATACCCTCTCCCTTTGAAGGTTCTAATCCGCAGTCGCCTGGACCAAAGTGTGGAGGAAGGCCTTGATCTAAAGGTACAGTGAGTAAATGCAATTAGGTTTAATATAGATGAGCTGCCATACAAGAAAATAATGCCTTTCTCTAATGCCATTGTTCATTTGTGTGGCTCTCAGAGGGAACTCTTAAGAAACAAACAGGAGGCACGCCACCTTCAGGCCATCAAGGTAAACCTCTTACATTATTTTCACCTCTGTGTGCAAGTTAAATCTCATAAAAAAATCTAATTAAATATATTCCACTGTTGTGCTATTCTACACTGAGGATTCTGCAGTTTCTATTACAAAAAAATGTATATACTCTTCACTTTTTATAAGACGATAACGTTTAGAGAAGGGTATGCTGTAGATGAGGCAGGTGGATGCTGTGTATCTGTATTCAGGTCTCTTATGGACGTTTCTTTGATCTCTCTCTCTCTCATTAGGATGCTCTGCAGCAGCGCCTGGCAGTGCAGGAGGACGCTGTGCTGCAGCTGAAGCAGGAGCTGCTGAGATGCAACATGGCCAAAGATCAGCTGGAAGGGGAAAATGTGAGACAAGTGATGAATTCCATTTGACACGATAAAATGTTTGACTTGCTTAACCTGTGGAGGAAGGTTTATGTGAGAGCAACATAACACTCTATATCAAGCCGATTATTTCTGTTTGCAGGCGGAGCTCAAACACAAGTTGAGTGACCGGAACAAATTGCTTGGTGAATATGAGGTATCATCTTTTATTATTCACACTTCAGTGCATTCTTTGGATGGATACATTCATATGCAGACTTATGTCATCCATCTTTCTTTTCACATAGCAGCAGCTCGGTAGGAAAGACAGAGTACTGCAGCAGCAGCAGAAGCTTGATGACGCCCAACGTAAAGCACACGAAGTCAGCCATGGACGGGTAGGGATCCAGATCTGATTTCTAACAATATAAAGTAATATATCAATTCAAATATTAATTTCAATCTGGTTAAGTATAAAAGTTAAAAAAATAAATCAAAAAGCTTAACTATATGTGGATTTTATGGATATTATTTATCATAATAAAAAATGTAATGCTCAATGATTTCTCCAATCCAACCCTCTGGCACTTAGCCCGAGCCTGTGGGTTTTTACTGAATATATACATCTTTTCAAAGGGGTGAGAAATATGTTTTTAAAATGTCCTATTTGCAGTATGTTTTTATCAAATGTTACTTTAAGTGGTAAATATTGCATTTGTTAGGGACTATTTCCAGCTGTAGAATTACACTTGGTGAGTATTTAAAGTGATGAAGAAACATGTCACTCACTGCAACAGAAGCTTATTGATGTGTTTAAATAGCATTGTGTACAACAATAGGGGATTCAAAGGTAAAGCACAGGGGAATAAGGTTTATCAGGCTTTGGCTACGCTGGTAAGGTACTGATCTTATAATGGCATTTGTTGAACCTTATTATGAAAAATTACCAGCTTCATCCTTGAAAATCCGCCAGCCTTAATTACATATTTACATGTATTGTTGTTATTTTTGCAGTCATTCAGGAGTGAAAGCGATGGTTACAGTAACTCCGTGGTTTCTACATCTCCTGCAGTATTCCAACACACTTCCCCAGTACGTATGCTTTTTTATAGCGGTCTTTATTTTAATACTATCAATTGCTGTTTATTTTTGTCCATGGTGGTTATTGTATCAAAGCTCATTTCTAGTAAATTCTAAAAAATATAAGAAAAATTAAGTCAGAATGTTGTCTTGGTCTAAAACTCTAAATGATAAGATATTCCTATCAAAAATAATAAGGTACAAGGTTAACGTGATAATGTAATAAGTCAATATTTTGACGCACAGGATCTACTAAAACAAAATTGAAAAGCCAAATGACATACATTTCACAGTCTCTGAACTTTTAATTATTAAAATATGAGACTTATGCATTTTTATGTTTTTCTCAGTGGTAAATGTCTTCCAGACTTGTTGCCTTAATATGAAAATCGAAACCTTGCAGAAAGTGTTTAACCATAAAGAAGCTGTTTGTCACAGGGGGAGGAGCTGCAGCTGGTCCGAGAGGCCCTGCGTAGTCTGAGGGACGGTTTCTCTGGCCATGACCCCCAACACCACACGCTGGACACGTTGGAGCAGGGGGTGAGCAGCCTCATGGACCGGGTACACACTCTGGACAGCCAGCGCAGACAGGACCGAGGGGTACTTACTCACACACACCATGTCGGAGAAAATCTTAACGCATCTGTCACCTAATGAGTGAGTCAACAACAAATCATGTTTACCATGGCTCTTCTTCCAGGAGGAATTGAAGTCCCCGGGACGCAGAGCCACCTCGACAGAGCGGGATTCCTGGCCGCAGAGCTCAAGTGAGACAAACAGAATCCCTGTTGTTTGTTTGGGATTTGTCATCCTCTGCAACATCTCAACTCTGTTGTAATCAAATTGTGCCATGCAATTACACTGCTATGTACAGTATGGAGTGGGCATGATTGGCTGTGAGGCGAGAGCCATTTCAGACTCTGGTTGTGAAAAACAGCATTTGTTGTGTTTGTGATTATTTCCAGAAATGGCACACTCACACAGCAGCCCTGGACTGGACACCGCCATCTCCACTAAAGTGCTCTACTTCACTGATCGCTCGCTCACTCCGTTTTTGATTAACATCCCCAAAAGGTGAGAAAAAACAAACAATTTATAACAGGTTTATGTAACGTTGTTGTTTTTTTCCCCCTCACTGTAGCATGCATGCATTTTAAGCAAATTGCTGTGTTCACCGAGGACACATGGCTTAATCCAGGCATGACTTGATCTACATATAGATGCTTCAGAATCTTTGCTGTAAAATGTAAATCCTTGTCAAGCTTAATGTCCATGTGGGTGTATATGTGCATAGATCATGACTGACAGTGCGCTTTCACAGGCTGGGTGAAGTGACACTGCGAGACTTCAAGGCCGCGGTGGACAGACAAGGCAGTTTCAGATATCACTTCAAGGCCCTCGACCCGGAGTTTGGCACAGTGAAAGAGGAGGTAGGCGTGGGAGGAAAGTTATAGCCTCTACTTCTTTTCACATCAACGTCATCAGGCAAATATAAAATGGCAGTTATAGAGTAATATATGCTAATAATAGCCGCGGCTGTGCTATACTTCAAATAACACTGCAGGGGGACTGAGTAGTCATTCTCACTTTCAATCCAGACCTTTGCTCATTGTAGATGTGAGTGGTTCTTAGATATGTAAATGATGGATGTTGGCGCTTCAGGTATTCCAGGACGGAGCAGTCGTGCCGGGCTGGGAAGGGAAGATTGTAGCGTGGGTGGAGGAGGACCACGGAGAGAAAAGGTAGAGCCAAAAGCCACAGAACACCACTACAAACCTCAGTTGTTGCCACTGGACCAGGATCTCACTGAGAGCACTTGTGATGCCATAATAGAGAATACTAATAATACAATTAACTTGGACCAATGGGTTTAACACCAGTACGATACCATGTTTTAAATGTGAATGTTTCATATGAATAATCTGTTCTTTGACATTTAGTAGGCCTACCACCTTTTTTGATTTTGAAGGTATGAATATTATACATTTTTGCTGTTTCTAAATGAATTTGTAAGACTAAAAATGTATGGTCATGTAAGTGATGTGAACCATGAATATGTAATATGAAAGATTGCTTTTTTTAATTTACAAATAACACATCAGGACCGGTGCTCTTAAAAGCTGTAAACGTGCATAACATGCAAACCTTAAAATAAAAATGTTTACTGACATTTTCCACACGTTCCAGATTGCCAAATAGTGTTGTTGATGTTCTGCACTTTTGATGTTTTAATAAACATGAATTATTGCAGCATGGATAATTTTGTTGTCAAATATTTAACGTGCCTAGAGTAATTATATTGTACTCCAGCTCAAAGCCATTATACACCTACACTTGTACACCCACACATTAAAAACAAAAGCAATAGATTGTAATTAAAGTCAATTAATTTTTGGGGGTTAAAAATTACGCTTGCTGCTGTGTATCAACCCACACAGCACGGGACAAAGTGACACATTTGTTTCAGTAAAACATTGGGTCTCATTCAGCTATTGTTTTCATCTCACTCTTTTATCAAAGCGTGTGGCAGATTTGTTGTGTTGTTAGCATAACCTTTCAGCAGGACTGAAATGGAGGGACTGTGAACAATATATCTATTTCTTTCTGCACTGATGTAACAGGAAAATGATCTAGCATCTAAGAGTAAGCCATTCGGAGCTGAAATCCTCCATGGGTTTAGATTGGATCAGTGGACCAATAGAGTTATTTAAATACACACATTGAATAATGCAAACACTATCATGCTGTAACACATCTTAATCTGATAATATGATGTTCATGTGTTTTAAATATATTTCTAAAATGTAAAATTGAACTATAGATACTTTTTTGTTATCTGTGAAAGCCAGATTCTTTTATCTATCTCAGTAAAAAGTATTTTTGATTCCTCCTAAAAATATGAAGAGAAGTACAAAATAAGGACAAATTGGCGAATCCCAGAAATTCACGGGTAGAACGAAACAAAAACAAATCATGGATACAAATATGAGAGGGCTTTTATTTGTATATCGTTTCCTGCACAAAGCCAGATGGATTTGGAACAGACCAGTTTACAGGGGAGCTGTCTTGTTTTCAGGCTTTTCAGATTGCATGGCATGAATTCAGTTTGTTTTGGTTATTTGGTTTGAGGTAATCTCAGTGTCAGCTTCACAGTTTCTTCTGCCCATTTCCAGCACTACTCACCTCTTTTCTTCATTATTAGTTTCACTATTTAGTCAAATTGTCATAAAAAAACATCCACTCTCAAAGTTAGCGTTCGATACTTCTTATTGAAAATGGCCGATGCAGTGTCTTCAATAACAGGTTTGGGGAGTTCTAGAAGCAAATAGTAGACATCCTCCACCTCCAGTAAGACGTCGTCCTGTAGACAAATACAATCACCGCTCAGTGTTACTCACAAAAGCAGAACGATAACTGCTATGTATTTTATATTAATGACATCCCACTACGCACTGACACGCATTGGATTTGAAAGTTGTTCATAACTATTCAAAGGAGTGTGTAACCGGTTACCTTGGAGATTCTCAGCTGACACTCGGACATGGAGCAAACCTTTGGCAGGTCCAATGTGATCTCCATGCTGCGAGCAACCCCTTCCTTATCTGTCTTCACCTCGAGTTGGTACTCAGGCTTCTGAGGCTGCACAAATGTGGTGGAGATGACCTGGATCAAATCCATATTTATTTGCTCTGCAGGTCTGAAGTCAATTTGGGCTCCAGAGCCCTGGTGTTGTTTCTCTGAGCGTAGAGCGGTTATTTGCTGCAGGAGGTCAGCTGGGGTCTGACTGGCTGTAAAAAGAACATGATACATTATTAGGAACTTTGGTAGAAGGTGAAAGATAATACACCTGCAGCGACAAAGAAAAATAGATCCACCATAAAGGGCTTGTGGCGGCTTATTGGGTGTAAAACGTTCTGCCCTACCTGTGTCTGTTTTACTGGAGGTGTAAGGCCACTGCCGAAACCCAAGGCGGCGGTGCAAGTCTTCTGGGTTACTCTTTGGGCTACAGCTGATGACAGTGTACTCCTGAGATAACCTCATCCCATGATGCTGCTGGGCAAAGCTCAGGGTCAGCATGTACACTTCTGTTTTGTCTTTCTTACTTTCCTGTAGCACTGCAGGGTTAAATGCCACATCCAACACAGTGCAGATACCTGGAAGAAGAAAAACTACAATGTATTGTTTTTTTCTTCTGACGAATTCGATTCGGTAGCTTGTGATGCTGCACAACTTTGACTTTTACTCTGACCTTCATTCTCGTCTGTTTCCAGTTTTCCTGCACACACAGGTAAAGGCCTGCTGGGATCCTGAGGTGCAGGCACACGTTTCCAGCTGCATATGTTGATGTACAGTGACCCTTTCTTTGGCTCCTGTTGAGAACACAGATGTAACACCTGTCAATACACACCCTATCTCTAAACTAAAACACACACAGGGGTGGCAGCTTTTCTATTAAGGGATAGAAAGTAGAGTGGAAGCAATGTTCACAAGGGAAAAGTCCATTCCCATTTTTTAAGCTAAAATATTGCAAATAATTACCAGTTAAGCTTCGGCACAAATATTATTTGTCAGTTTGTTCTCAATCTTGTGACAGTAAACTGAATAGTTTTGGGTGTGATACTGTTGGTTGAACAGAACAATCCATTTGGAGATGCTTAAATGGGCTATGGGAGTTTGTGATGGGCTCTTCACTATTTTCTTTATTTGAAGATTACTCAATAAATGAAAAATAATTGTTTAATCTTATCTAGTAATTTTGTGATTATATAGTTTAAGCTATTTTAGACAGACAGGTGCAGTAGATGATACACATTGACCTTATTGAGCATTGTCACAGTGGACACACATTCACTTACTAAGAAAAGTGTAACTTAGTAAAAGCAATACTTGTTTCTGTCAATGCCAGGCATTACACCAAATGCTGTGACCATTATATTCTGTGTCCTTTTCACAGGGTAGGCTACTGCTAAAATGTTGATTGTAACAAGTTGCCAGCAGTACTTGTAAGTCATAATCAAGGAGAAACAAAACGTATCGTTTTCCTTAATAAAAAGTTGAAAGGCAAAGATGCTTTTTGGAAAGAAAGGAATGCATTCATTTTTAAAGCGTCAGCTGTGGCTTTTTATTTGGGTCATTTAATTTGGTTCCACACCTGTAATATAGCTCACTTACCTGGTTGGCACGGGTCTATTATTAATGAGAAACACCTGTGCTTTCCCTGCTGTGACGCACTGTTTGTCGTCACAGAGAATTTTATATTGCAGGTTTGGTAGTTAAACTTATCTAGTGACCGTTCATTTTTAAGGTAATGCAAACGACGCAACTTACCAGCATTTCAGTGCGAATACAGGAGTCTAGCTCAGGCGGTGCACTGAATCCAGCTCCTTCTTTCATCTGCTTCTCTATCAACTCGCGGTATGCTGCGGGGTCATTTTGAGAAAGATCATCCAGGATGGACCAGAACTGGTTGACTTGCTGTAAAACATCCCCTGTGCTGCCAGACATCTTGAGGTGACTCACTTTGGAGTTAGCAAACACTAATGTTGAGGCTAGCAAGCCACTAAAGGTAACTAGTGAGTGTTAAATAGTTGAATTTGGAACAAATAGCTTGACTACAGTATAATAAATTAGTTGTGCTATTAAATTAGGCTCCAAATGTGAAACAAAGATAAATAAAACACACTTTGGTTAGTTCAAGTCTGTGAAACAGCTAACGTGTCTTAGCTAATGTTGTTAGTTGCTATGGAAACTGGTTACTCAGAAGCCGCCTGGTGGTCAGAGGCAGAGTTGCAGCTCAGTAATCACATCGGACACAGTTTAATAAGAGGCATCATTTATATTCAATACATACAAAAATTAACGTAAATATGCATAATGTCTTTTGATTGTCTTAATGTGTACATAATACAACGGACATTTAAAGTAAAAATATCGACTTTCAAATGTCTCAAACATCAACAGCATCCTTTGCTTCTTCTTTCTGAGCCTCCCTCAGCCCTCAGTAAGTCTGCAAAAACAAAGAGTCATTATAAGCAAGCGGTTTATTAACTGTACTTCTACAGTTTACTGTTATTTTCTAGATGCCAATACTACAGTGTCTCAATGCTGGTGGTGTATACAATTGATTATTGACTGATATGACTTGAGTGGAGTATACTAACAAATATCCTCATCTAAGCAAAAATAGCATTTTAAAAACTCCAATTCAAGTAAAAATCCAGCATTAAGTACAATTAGTAATAGAAGCACCCTCAGCAATATAGTATCAACATTAAAAGTACTTATGTGGCACCAAATGAAGGTGATTATTCTTATATCTGATATAGACCTATACTGCTACTACTGAGCTGCAACGATTAGTTGATTAACCAATTAGTTGATAAACAAAAGCAATATATTATTATTCAAAAATTAGTTTCGTAATGTATTACCTTACCTAATAATAATGTTGAACATTTGCCAGTTCCAGCTTCCTAAAAGAAATGATTCTCTTATTTTTCTTTTGTCTTATATGATAGTTAAATGGGCATCTTTGTTGGTAAAAAAAAAGAAAGAAGCATTTTGACAATGTCACCTTAAACTCTAGGACACTTCTAGACTAATTGATTTGTTGGGGAAATAATTTGCAGATTATTCGCACATCTAAAAAGTCTGTTTACTTCAATCATGTCGTAGATCCAGCCCAAGAATTCAGCAACGTTGGTGTAAACCCCTGGATGGTTGGGCTCAGCACAGCCTGTCCCCCAGCTGACGACCCCTACCAGCCTCCATACATTTTCATCCTGGCAAACCAGAGGACCCCCACTGTCCCCCTGGAGAGGTAGACACAAACACTAAACTCACCCAGCTTTCATCATGCCAGGGTTTTACCGTAAACAAGTCACATAAAAGAGGATGAGTCTTTAAAACGCCTCTGCAAGCCAGTGTTCAAAACATAACTCTGACCTGGCATGCATCCACTTTTCCCTCTGTGTATCCCGCACAAAGCATCCGTGGTGTGATCTCTCCATTGTACATGCAGGAGCTGTTGCAGTTCTTTGTGCTTATTATGGGAACAGGCGCCTCTTTCAGGGTGTCAGGTGAGTGAACTGAGCGAGAAGACACAGGTTTAATGCTGCTCTGTCAATACACCTGGCACACTGTCATCATGTGTGAATTAGACTTGCAGCAGATGTAAATTATTTTTAGAGCAGTACTGCCTCACCACCGTCAGGCTGTGTGTATCCCCATCCAGAGATCCAGCACTGTGTTCCTCCTGGAAGATCAGAGTTGTAC